AGGTTCCTTACACCACTGGGTGCCCACAGAAGTCTCAGGCAGAACTTCCCTCACACATTGCTGGGACCCAGAAGTTTGCTGCCGTAAATAAGAAGTGAAGGGAGCTGCTCTGCTGCCAGCACCTATATTTCCAGCAGGTAGCAGGGTCTACAACAGTATGGGGAGAGCATAACTGCATCCCAGTGAATCATTTTGGCAGTGTTGCTCCTAAACACCATCCTTGCCATTGTAAAGGTGAACTTTGCTTACGGGATAGATAATTGTCAGGTGTGAGAGCCCTGTAGAGCTGGTGCTGAACAATGTGGGAAACTCCATCTGCCTTAATAGCCGCTCCTGCACCTTTATGATTATGCTCAACAGTGATGCACGTCTTCATTAAAGTAGATGCATACCTATCATAGATGGTAAAATGGAAAATGAGACATCAGCAAAATCTTGAAATGTAATTAAAATAATGATCTTTATTATTTAGTATTGAATTACAGAACCATTTTTGCTATGGCCCTGCAGCTGAATGAAGTCTTGTTTGTTCATTGGTTTAACCTGATAAGCCTGAAGGGCATGTCATTAGCTTCAAGTAAACATAGGTTCAAGGAGGGGAAATGGTCTGATTCATACTTAAAAATAGACAGAAAAATCTGATTATAAAAAATGTCAGATGATAAATTAATCAGACTGGCAAAAATTTGATTGCCCAGAAGCCTGGTTAAAATGCAAATTTTGTCTGACCAAGAATCCATCAGGTTTTCTGCTTGCTAGAGACAGCAGGGAAGATGAGTATGTGTGCCTTTGACATACAGCACAGTAACATTAAGCAGCTGCTCAGAGGAGTCAGTCAACAGAAAAAAAGCCATAGAAAGTAAGAATGAAATTGAGATTCCCTGAGCCTGCTCCATCGTCCGAGCAGAAGGACTGAAGGAGGAGAGGTTGAGCAGAGGTGTGCTGGTGGTTGGGGAGTAAGAACTGCTGAAAACTGAGTGTGAGTGTCTCTTACCTGGAAAGTAAAAATTGGGTCTGGGCTTTTTAATTTCAACCAGATGATTAAAAGCCATCTTTTTCTGACAGAGAGAGCAGCAGTGCTGCTCAAGGTGGAGCTAGCAGGGCAGCATCCTGTAAAGCAGGGGGCCGCCTGCTTACTTGCTCGGTAATTACCATCAAAGAGAATAATTTTGTTCCAAACTCTGTCAGCATGTGATCTTTTTTTTACTATTGAAAGTTGCTGTCAATCCAAATAAATTATAAATACTGTTATAAATAATCTATTTATAAATATAATTGTTATAAGTAACCTATTTATAACAGTAGGATACATTCAAAATGAGCTTAAATTCTGCTGGAATTCTTTTATGTTAGTGGTGCCTCAGTGTAGCTAGAGGAATATAAACTGCCCCACAATTCACTTTTAATTACCTCGAGAAAATGATACTGCATTTTGAAAATAAGGACACCTCTGGATTCCTGTCAGGCAGCCAAATTTCAGCCTATCCTTGACTATGGGAGATATTATCCAGCATTAAATTGTTAGATGAATACAGTGCTGAAAGAAAGCTTTTCTGCTTAGTACCCATGCAGCATAGATTTTAAGCACACACTTTCCTCATGTGTTCCAACACTAAACTAAATTTAAGTCTTAAGAATAATGTCAGTAATGAAACAGGTGGAGGTAAGTTGCTTCTGGCTTAGGTAAAACCTACCAGAATAGAAAAATAAAGTTAAATCTAATCTAAAGATTAGAATTTACATTAGATTTCAAACCAAATGAGAAATTATTTATACATTTAGAAAGGTTTTGTTTGGTTTTGTTTTTCCACAGCAGAACTGGCCTGTTGAAGAAACAGAATAATTTCAATCTCTAGCTATTTCAAAATATGATTAAGATAATATAGTTTAGAACATATCCATATTCAGCTTAGCAGTGTATGTGTCCCATGAAGACACTGGTTAGACCTAGCTTTGATTAGCTTAGGAAGCCTGAAAAGGGTGGGAATAAGTGTGAGCAGTTCTGGGGATATTCAAATGAAGGAGTCCTTCTTTAAAAAGAGCAGATGCTGGAGCTAGATCACGCAGTAGCAGTCCAGCTTACCCAGGAGAATTTTGTGGGCCTATGATACTGTATAATAAATGTCACAGACTCCCAGTCTGAAAAAGCAGATGCAGAAGGTAAAATGCATACACGGAGGACTGAGCTATTGGCTTATTTTGAATATAACAAGCAGTTTTCTTACTATATGAGAAATATCAATAACATCTTTTATTGTTTTAATTCCAGGGTGATGATCCTAAGGAGACAATTTGTGTATATCTCAGCAGTTCGGTGTTGGATTTGGTCTGATATGATTTTGTGAGCATTAAACTGCATTATTACAACAGAGAAATATTTTACACTTGGGGAGAAAAGGAAGTGATTCTTCACACAGTGACTGCTACATTTCTGAATTTTGAGTAAGCATTTTTTAAAATACAAAATAGCATTTATTTGGGAAATTCTGAAACTCCTGACTATTGGTTTAATTGTAGCAAAGCACAATCTCAGGATGGTGGCAATATGTGACATTCATCGTGTTTTGTTTCTTAAAGTATCATTAAAACATTTTGACATAAGATCTCTGGTTTTGTTAATATCACGTAATATAGGCAATAGTCTCTGTATGGTAGCTGCATGAGTTGGCAGTAAACATTTTCAATTAAGAACTTGATCCTGTAAACATTAGCATTTGTCTACATGAGAAAGGTGATGAGAAGAGCTACAGAGGAGTAATTAATTCAGAGCCATGTCATTCTTATTTTGTCCCAGGGTGCACAGATTAAAAAAAAAATCCCTCAGGTTAGAGATAGTCAAGTGGTTTATGGGCTTTCATTTTGTGGGCAATAGATAATGCTGTGGATTTAATGGGATCACTCATGTGAATGATTTTGTGAACAAGTGTTTGAAGGACCAGAGCTGTGTAATTGTTTTTAAACCCCTCTTCTCGCTTGTGTTCCTGTCTGAGGTCCGGTTTGGCTCCAAATGAGGACAATAAACTAGGTTCCATGCTGCAATCCCCAGAGTCCTGGTAGGGCATGACTTTGCACACATTCCTGCAATCCCAGATCTGTATCTTGGCTGACATACGAGATGGACCATCCATTAGACAAATTATCTATTCCAAACGTTTCATTTCTTCTATTTCCTTTTCACTTAGCATAGCTCCTATCAATATGTGACTACAGATAAGGAAACTGCACTAAGCATTATTAGAATATTCCTCTTACAGTCAACCCCAAGTTCTTCTCCTGTACCAGGACATACGAGAAAAGAACCTACAGTCACTTAATTTAAAGCTTACACAGTTCTTGTGCTTCGTGTTTTCATATGGTCCAGGCATACCTGTGGAGCAACATCCTGTGACAAGAGAAAGTGGAGTGTCAGGCCAATGGAAAGAATCGCATTAACATTTACAGGAGCTATGACAAGCAGTTGTTCCCCTAGCTATGACTGCTTGTATGTTATTGCTGATATGTTTTACTGCAGGAAAAGAAACCAAACAACAAACCAAACAAAAAACCCCCAAAAACAAAACAACAAAAAGCTTGTAATAACCAGTTTCAGTTAAAAGAAGTTTCAGTGGATTTTTTGAGAGTCTACTGAATGATCAGTTCAAAGATAGCATGTCCTCCTCCTTCTTTTATAGTCAGATACTATCAGGTATTTTGTTGACTAAAACTCCTTTTGCTGCTGTGGCATTAAATCCCCAATCGACTGATTTAAAGAGCATTCAGTATTCACTGAGGATTACATCTGCAAAAAAAAATCCTACTTAAATGAATTGAATCTTATAAAATAAGGTTCAAAAAGACTTTTAAACTGATACTTTAGAAGAGCATTTCTATATTGTTGTAATACGTGAAAGCTTACCTGGCAGCAGTTTTATAATCACATAAATAATCCTGAAAGTATTAGAATCAATTGTTATGGTTCCAGGTCTGTTAGTTGAGACACATTCAGCACCTTGATCCATTTCCAAGATAATGATAGCAGAATCCAATACTACTTCTACCCAAGCAGAAGTGTCCATAAATCCTGGCTGCATGTATCAGCAATAAAGCAATTTTTTTCAAAATAAGGTTTTTTAAAAATAAATAGTGCTTTGAGGCATTGAATGACACCACTAATACACGAGTGGACCTCTGCATGTCAGTAGGGCTTTTAACAGAAACAAAGACATCCAAATTAAGTCGATGGGTGCATCTGTGTTCCCAGCTGGTGACTGAAAGAGGCAAGCACAAGGGTTTGATTTACTGTGATCTGTTGTGGTTCCAGCACCACACTTCCACATTTTGTCTTCACCAGCAGTGAAATTTGTGCCAGTTTCTGGCCACAGGCGTCTGCTGTTCATGTGCAGAGAGCTGGCTGCTGCAAGACCCGGCATCCGTGTTAGGAGTGTTACGGATGATTGCCTACTGCAACACCCTGGTTATAGCTCAGAGACAAATTTGCTCCCAGAACAGCTCCTCGTATGCCATAAGTCACTCACATAAGACTGTCCCTGAATGTTTGTAGCTGGAAGGTGTGCAAAGTGATGTACTTGTCCTTTGGGTGATGCAAACAGCCTAGGTTGAGGAGAACCATGTCATATTTCATCCAGGGAGGCAGAGATGCACCTGTGTTCAGGCAAGGACTGTAACTTACTCCAGTCTAGCGTAGTGCGCTGAGATGATCTTGGCTGTGTAGCAGCTACGTGGTTTGACTTGGAAAAATTCATACATCTTTTACAGATGGAAAGGATCTTGCATTGTAGCTAGAACAATTGCAAGTGTTTCGTGTGTACGTAGAGGTGATGCAAAGGGTATCATTCATTGCTCAGATTAAATTCAATGAACTACTGACCATAAATAAAGTGGCAAAACCTGGTTGTGTGTAAGTAGATGTGGAGAGGAGAAAATGAAATTTATTTGCAGTGGGGAAGCAAGTTTTTTTCAAAAGTGTTTGTTAGCACCGTATTGCATTATCTGAGTGAATAAATGTATGCAGTGTACCATGATACACCATAAAGAGCTGTAGTTACAGTGTGTCTGGACTATTTCTGTACAGCTATGTTATTTATAACACACATGTATTACTAACTGGAAAGGTTATTGGAATACATTTTAAGAGAGGTTTAGCCAAAAAGAAGAAACTTATTCTAGTTCCCTTGACAAAAAGAGGTCGTAACTGAAGGAGTGTGATGTAGCATGCACAAATGAGTGCAGATGGAAAGCTCTGTAATACAGCCAGGCACTTTGACTTTTTAGCACTGTTTCAGCGAAGTTTAAACTTGCTGTTGACCTGACGACCTGATCCTGTACACTCTCAAAGCTCCCGGTGATTTGTGTTGAGCACAGGACTGACAAGAAATGCGTGGAGAAATTGTTAACCTTTCCTACCCTTTTTCCTACAAATATTTTAAACTCCTCATAGAATAAAAATATGCACTATTAGACTTTAGATTAAGAACCTATTTTTAATGTAGCTTTCTCAGGCCTTGCTCTAGACATGAAGTTGTTATGTTAGTTGCATCCACTTCACTCCACAGGAGTGCAGACCTTGTACTCGGCTTTATTATAGCTGCTGCTGCTGTGTGCTTGGTGGCTAGGTCGTGTTAATTTGTGCACAGGCTGGGCAAGTTAATAGCAGCGTTTCTGTGTGACAGGGCACAGTTAGATTGATCAAGACTTGCTGAAGTACACTCATTGTGGGAAAGCATGTTTTCTCGGGTGGCTGAATAAATTATTTCTCATTTATTTTACATCTGTGCCAGGCTAATGATGAATAAATGGATTTTGTACCTGTCTGGGAATGTTTATGACATTTTTGCAAGACCCAGCCAAATGCAGTTTCGATTAACAATTCTTACCCAAAAGTTGAGAAGGGCCTTTCAGTTCCCTCTACTTCACATGAGGAATAATAATTTTTAGGGTTTGTGGGCCTCCAGTGCTGTCACATGCTGTGGAGTGAATATTGAGATCAAATAGTTTCTAAAGATAGAAACACTGACAATGTGCTAATAGTTCCACTGTACCTTTGCAGAGGCTGACAGTGTCCTTGCACGTGACTGTTTTCACAGCATCGTGGGATTAAATCCTGCTTGGCTGCTTTTATTCCTTTTTCTCCTCTGAATCTTTAATGTTACATCTTCCTTTAGGATCCAGTGCTGCCTCGAGTTGGTAATTTCTCTTCCCCGTGAGGCGTTATGTAGTCCTGTTTAGTGTCTGTTGGGGAGTTTGCACGGCTATCAATCAAACGGTGCTATGCTTGTAGCATAGTAAAACATATTTAAAATGGCTTGGTTTACGTCTCACAGAAGGCAGCATGGTGGGATATTCACATTGCCTAACTGGAGGTGCTAAATTTGGGCTGTAGCTCCATGGTGACTGTAATAGCTGTAATAGCTGGTTGCACAGTCCAGTCCTCGTTCTTGCGCTCCACCCCTTCCTTCATGCTATCTCTGGCTCCTGTCTGATCCTACACTGAGCTGTTTTGGCACACTGAGCCAGCAAAAACCTGATGTGGCAACAAAAAGAGAAAATTGGTTCATGCCAACAGAGCCAGGGGAATCTCAGAGTCAGAGCAGAGGAGGGGGTGAGACCATGCAGGAGGGACCATAGGGCTACAGCGGGGGCCATTTGTTACCTGATGGCTGTTGGACAGGCCCAGTGGTCCCCTGAAAGCTCAGTCAAGTCAGGAAGGTAACACCTCTGGGGCCCTCCACGGTCATCTGAAGGGAGAGATGAGCTCCTGCGGGCGTTCGTCCTGGTGGGCAGGAGCCCGTCTCTCCCCACAGTGACAGAAGGTGCCTAAGGACTCTACATACCTACACTGGTTGATTGTTGCTCCACCTCCTCTCTTTCCCATTACAGTCATTTTAACAAACTGTCCACCATCTGCAGGTTCTGAAATTATAACCGTAAAAACCCTTTGACTGTAAATACTGTTTCTCAGTTCACTGACAGTAAACTTGTATAAACTTGCTCATTATTCAGCACGCCTATGCTTTCAATCTCTAATCGCAGCATTTCAAGCAGCATCTGCAGAGAACAGAGCTGGGCAAACTCTGGCAGTTTTGAGACCAGTTAATCTCACGTTGATCCTCTTTCCTTTGTACAGTAGTGAGATGTCTGACCATGTTGCCATGCTTGAGTCAAGATGAAATTCTCTGTCCTGTGTGATTCAGGAAAAGAAACTAAATGATCTAGGTGACCTAGCACCTTCTGTGGGCTGCCCAAACTACTAGAAATAAATTATCCTATTGTTATGTATTATTTGGTTTTATCCCATGTGAGTATCTGGATCGGTTAATTGGTCTGGGTTAACTGATCACTTTTAGACCTTGACACTGCACAGACTCTGGTGGACCTACAGCCTGACACAGCAATCCAGGTTTAAAAACCTGGAGATCTTTCTCTGTCCTGTCACTCGCTCTCATATGACGAATCTGTGGAGTGAGATCCTGAACATGCATGCAGTAGCTCCTCCATGGACTCTCAGGTTCACAAAGCACATGTCCACTTGTGTACAGCAGTCTGTGTGAGATCAA